AAATCAAGTTCATAGCATATCAAAGAAATTATAGCATACAACTGGGTCCTTTTCACGGAAAGAAAAATCAGGAAAATGATAGAACGTTCAGAAAATAGAGAAAAATTGCTTGGTGTACATTATAAAAATCCTCTACTTAGCTGTTAAACTTTTCTCTCGGTCAGCTATTGATATTATAGGAGACTTACAAAAGCAAAACAAGTTAGAAGAACAAAAACAATGATTCATAGAAGTTGTGCAAATTTGTGAACATATTGACACATTATCTGCAGAAAAAAACAGAGTTACACAATTAATATATAAGAGAAAAGAGCGATGATTCATCGATGTTTCACAATCACTTGAAACTACTGATATCATCTGTAGAGGTAATGAAAAAAAAATGACACGTATGAGACATGCTCAGGGTAAGCTGCAAATTAGGAGTGCAAATTTTGCAGAGGAGACGGTGTAAGACAGAACAAATTTTTGGAAATGTATGAAAAAATATTTCGATGCACGATCAAAACACCGAAACCATAATTTCAGTTCGATTTGAAAGAGACGATAGAAAAATTTTTCTGGAAAAGTGTATACTTCTTCACACCCTATGCGACTTATCCTCTCACGCCTTTATTCCAAACACTGCCACCAGTACATCGTAGTGAAAGGGAGACGGTAATTCAGCAACTCAACTACAACAAGAGAACGAGAGCTGGTGTATGTAGATATGCGATCGACAGAATGAAAAGAAACGAAGAATAGTAGAACTCATTAGAATATGCGCGAACTATACATGACGTGAGGGAAGAGAATAGAACTGAGGAGGTCAATGAGGACATAATAATACAAGGACAGTCTATCATCGTATTGACAAGCACAGATCTATGATGTGCATGAAAGTGCAGATTATAACACGTTCTCACTTTTTGTGGACTTGGTGTAGACAGCAGCTATAAAAAAACCTCAGAATCAGAAACGGGTTGAGCTGAGAAAAAAATTCCCAGATATTAATAATAGAGTTTTTGAAAACGCCTTAACGACGGTGTTTTTCGGGTCGTCAAGGAAAGTAAACGTCATCATGATAATCACCTAGTCGTTTTTTTCCGATCTAGCCTGATATTAGAATAGTAGAATATATATGTCTAAAACAGATTGAAGTAGTTTCAAATCTCTATCTTCTCTTTTGACTGTACCGGAACAAATCTAATTTGAGTAGTGTAACAATACCAAGTTCCAATTTCTTTTCGACTACAATTCGACAGTTGGCTCTTTAAAATCTCATCTTCGTGATCAACGCAAAAATTCTATGTAGAACGAGGCAGTTCTAATTGAATTCTGAGACCATATAATTTTTTATATTTTAATATAGATGGAATAATGGAGAGAACTTTTTCGAAAAAAAAAAGAATTTTTAAATTCTTTCTCAGCAAAATTAACTCAGTTATTTTATTCAGCATTCGATATCTATTCTAACCATATTTCTTTTTTTCGAAACTGTCGGAAATGAAAAAAACTCGCTGATTCTTTGTTGTTTTTCTGCTTAGGTTTCTGATAACGAAGAGATTATCAAAACAGAAAATTTGTCAGGAAGATCAAAATGCTGATTTTTTCCACTAGTACAATTTTATTCTGATCAAAAATTTCTTTTCAAATGCATTAAATTTTTCACAATAAATGTGTCACAGTACACCGTAAAAAAAAGAGTAGAATAATAAATCTTTTAAAGGTTTATGAAAGTACAACGTAAAATAAATCCTTTTTACCTTATGTCATAATTTTCATAAATCCTTCCAAACGGTATATGAAAGGGTATATGATTCTTATTAAAATTCACAACTTCATTTAAATCAGAAGTTGGATCAAATCTAAATCAAAAAACTAATTGATTTTATTTTTTTTATATTTATAACTGAACTGTCGTTTAAACGAAGTGAACCGTCGGTTTGGGTTTTGATCGTTGCTTAGTTGTGGTTAACTGCTGATTTTGATTATAATCATCGACTACCGTGGAGTTTCACAGCAAAAAAATGACATTGGCTAATACTGTATCCTTCTTTGTGTTATTCATTATATAAAATGTACCTGTTCCAGAATTCAGCTACATATATAGATATGTATTATTTTTCTAACTCACTGGAAAAGAGGGTGTGAGTGTGAATCTTCTCATCAGGCATGAAAATGTACCCACACAGCTACACTCCACACCCATAAAGATGATATAATTGGTCGGAGAAAAATGTCAATTGTAATGGATAGGCCTACTAGAAAACATCAGAGTTTTAATGCAGTTACTATGGTTTATATTCGTCCTAGACAAAGACTCGAAAAGATTGCTATAGAGGGTTCTATACATGTCACAGTATGTTTTCTTGATCGATGACATCGAACTCATCAAAGTAGAACTTCTGTAGGCTATTGTAGAGTAAACTAAATACAATACTGTTATCCTAATTTTATCAAAGACCTTTGAGGCTATGTGCCGGAATAGACTACCGATAATAAGCGAGGTACCAAATACTAATTCTGTCAGTGCTCCTGATTCTTCAAAATATAATCATCGATTAAGATGTAAAAGGAGCATTTACATGTTTTTGCTTGTATACCCCAAAAGCTCTTCGTAGCTAACTCTGATGAGGTACGTGGCCACGAGATCCACCCACAAAGCAGGATCAAGCAATGCAAGAACGATTTCTATCAATGGCACACGTAATTGATTCTAGGCAACGAAAGAATGCCATACGAGAAAATGATAAAAACCGATTTATGCTAGAAACTATTACTGATTAGTCTTTTGGCCGGGATATTTTCTTCCTTCTCTGGTAAGCTGAAATGTTGTACCTGATCATTTATTTCTCTGATATGAAAGTAAGCCCTTATCTAGTAGAATCTTTGAGAGGGATATTCCACGATGCTTCTAATTCCTTTCGATAGGCCATAGATCTGGCAATAGGTAACGTATAAAAAGGCTTTTAAAAAGTCCTCTAGAAAACAAAGACAAGTATCTATCTTGAAAATACGAAAGAATAAACGTGATCAGAAGAGAAAATTGAAAAATGTTGAAACCAAATTATTCCAGTAGGGTACTGTTTGAATTGTGACTATTCAGTGACGTGTTCGCAATCTGTGAGTGGATATTATTCGTAATATAGAGTGTTATCGGATATCTAAAGTTTTCAGTTGAGATAACTCTGCTGGGCTTTCGGAATAGCGAGTAGATGATTGAATTTCTCATGTTGAAAGTAAGACCTTGCATGGCAGATTAGAAAAGAGCGCTTTGAGAAGCTAGTTGCTTCTTTTTTTAGGATTTGAGAACTGCCAAAAAACATGTGAAGTCGGTCAGAAGACGATACGAAATATGTTGAGATCATCCTATTGGGATGATTTTTGACAGAATATTTCAATATGTATACTTGTCATGAGAGTACACTACTATGTAAACTGTGTCGGAATGAGAGATTAATGAATATTGAGTAGACTTCATTAAGATGTTGCTATAAAATTGAAACTATTGACTTATTCCAACAAATTTTTATTTTTAGTCTAATGTCTTACTAGATCTTTCACATGGTGGACTAGATTATTCTCTACTTTTCGGAATGCTCTCGATGTAGATGATAATCGTGACCGAGTATTGGTGTAGGTGTAAGAACATATCTTTTGTTTCCCCCACATCCTTCTGTTATGAACTTTGGCAGAATTAGCAACAGCAGTCTTGGGAAGATTTTCTCTCGATTTTTGCAAGATCTCGTGAAAATCTTTGCAGTGGGATTCACTTAAGTTTTAAACTTGCATCGCATGAGAATATTTGCATGAAAAAAACAAAGTCAGTGGGAATACTAAAGTAAGAAATTCTGATAAGATATCATGGACCTCGTGGTATAATCCTTATGAATAATAATTATGAGAATATTTCAGTAAATTTTTTCAGGATTCTGTTATCAGCTCTTCAAGAAAAAATTGTTTCGAATTCTTGAAAGATACTACCATTGCCTATTAGGGTCTTGTTAGAAAATCTTCAGGAGTGTGTTAGAATTCGTCAAGATCATAAATCTAAAGAATCCTGTCAATTTTTATTCAGGACACTTCGCGGGGTCCCTTCAAGATCTTGTTCTATTTTTTTTCTAAATGAGGGATGCAAAATTTCACTTAGAATGCGTTGTATCTAAGTCACGACCAATGCTGCTCAATCGATATCATCGATTTGGCTGGTATTTTTACAACAGATATAAACATCTGAGTTAGTAATAAACTGAAAGTTTCAACTCAAACGGATGATCCATTCAGGAGATATCGATGTTGCAAGCATAGCTACTGTGCTAAACTTGAAGCATCTTTTTTTTTAGTAATACCAATAAGAGTTACAGAAGAGATTTTTTTACCATAAATACTATCGAATATGGACTATCGTTTCATGCTAATGCAACTGGATTATCATCTGATCTTTATGGGCTAGTGTTATATGCCATTTCCAGAAAGTGTGTCCTCAGGAATAACGTAAGTTGGTTGGATCAGTGTAATAGAATAGTTTGAAAGTAGTCTCATTGGAATGAGCACATAAAATTGTATCGAATGGCGTTTTCAAAAATCTGCAATATTGAAGTTTGGTATGAAAAATTTTTTAAACAAGACCAAAGACACTGAAAATTCCATACCATTCTAACTACAGCAATATGGAATTTCAAATGAAAGCCCATTGCAAGAAAGTCCTAAATTCAAAATTTCAACTCGTTTAGACACACATGTGAAAAATGACGACAGACTTATTTTTTCATATCTTTTTCGAGGATAATCGGATATGGATAGGGTGTGAGTCGTCTTTTCATTCACACTCTTAAGAATTCCTATTCTATATAACATATAAGTTAGAAGTTGCATAGAAAACTCTGATCTTTATTTGTATCATCGAAAAAGTTTTTGAAACAAAAAGAAACTGTAGAAAATCATTGAAGTTTTCTCAAAATAAGAATTATTAGCTTGACTAAGTGTAATATGATCGAAGTAGAATTCGAATATATAATTCACCATGTAACAAGCATCTTTTGAACACCAATATCTTTATTATGATCATTGATAAATTGAATATCGTCTATAGATCGAGCTAATTTAAGATTGGGCAATCGTTGAAAAATAATAATAAATACAGTCTTCAATTGAGCTCGTACAAGATGCATTGCAATACATTGATGAGTTCCATAGCCGAACGAAAGATGATGTTGTGGAGGACGAAAAATATCAAATCGATCAGAATCAGTAAATACCTGTTCATCGCGATTAGCCGATGCATTAAGTGCAAATAAGGTTTCACCAGTTTTAATGATCTGTCCATTGATTTTTACATCTTTCATTGTCAATCGATGAGTAATAAAACTTAAACCAGTATGATAACGAAGAATTTCTTCAACAACTGCATCAATTGATGATAAATTTTCACGAAGTTGATCGAGTTGTTCATGATTTTGAAGAAGACTAATAATACCCAAACATATTAAATTTTTTATTGGTTCATTCGCACCTTGAAGAAGAAGTAAAATAATACTAACTAATTCTTTTTCATTAATTCTTCCAGGTCGCAACTATCAGAAAATATTAAAAATTATTTCACTAAAATGAATACTATATCAAATTCGAATAACATAGTCAAACATTTTTGTCTTTTGACTAGGTTAAAAGATTTAAATTCACAGATTTGAGTCGAAATATATGTATAAACTGGTTTCAATCGAGTAATCGATTTTAAAAAAAAAGTATGACTCTCTGTGAAAAACAAACCTGTTCAATGATGAGTCGACTAATTATATCAGATCCTGGCGTTTGTTTTTTATTAGCAATAAGACGATTAATATAGTCCAACAATTCTTTATTAGCTGTTTGAGCTTCATCCAACTTATTATTAATTCGATTTCGACTAATGAGAAATTCATGATCAATTTTGTTAATGCCAAGTAAATCATAAATAATAAATGAAGGAACTTTTATAGCAAACTGAGAAACGAAATCAATCGGTGGATTTTGATTAATTAATTCATTGAGTAAATCATCAACAATATTTTTCATTCTTGGTTCATATTCTTTTATTCGATCAATAGATAATTCGTTTTCAATTATTTCTCGATAAATAATATGTTTTGTTGGGTCCATGTTCAACAAACTAGCATGTTCTTCATCAGTATCAATAATGTCTTGATAACTTTGTTTAGAAAAATTAGAATGATTTTGAACTTTACTGAAATGTTCATCATCACCAAGAACAAGACATACATCACCAAATCGAGTTATTAACCAAACTTGATCACCATTCATTAACGCAACACGATATATCGGTTGTTCAGCTCGTAATCGATTATATTCGATTGGAGGTTCAGAAGGAAATGAACGTTGAAATGGAAATACTGAACTTATTAATAATCCTAAATATACAGAACAATGAATTTAGCTTTAAACATATTTTTTATCACAGTATACAAATCGAACTTAATCAATTGAATTTGCTGAAAAGAATTTTCTACTAAATGTCTCATAAAAAATATTTTTATTTTATATTTTAGAAGTCTATCATTTAAGAAATATCTTTTTTTGCTGGTATTTTTCACTGCTTGGTTGAATGATTGTAAGAATAAAAAACAAACAAACGAAGCGAGAAAAATTCTATTTACTTTCATTTTGATTAAGTTGTTTATCGTTTATATCTTGTCTTGTATGTAATTCAGGATTTGATGCAGTTGCAATTGTTCCATGTGGAGATACAACAGTAAACGAAATAGGACATTTACTGTTAGATTCGGACATATTTTTCTATATACAATCTAAAAAGCAAAAAAGCCTCCAATATCGTCTTCATTATCCTACGATATTGAAAATTAGATAAGACAGAACACAAGAATTTAGTTTCTTAGATATTAACCTTTTTTTCTCTCTCTCTTTTTCTCGAGTGCATGGCATAACATTGCAAAATATGTTTTTTTTTTCTTTTGATATGAAAACCGATGTATTTTCTCTTTGTTTCTTCCTATCGTTTTCTCATGGTTACAAATACACGTGCTTGTCAGTAGGAAGAGAACGAGTAAGTAATAGATCAATAAGGGCAGCTTTATTATTAACATTGAAACGTATAGAAACTTTATCGAGCGATGACGAACATAAAAGGTCACTGAGTGCTAGTCAAGCATCTTACAAATTAAGTAAATTTATGCTTTTCACGAAAGTGTTAACTACAAGAAAAAAAAACCTGCCTTTTTATTTTGCTCATAATTATCTTGTTTTTGTATGGAAAACAAAAATTCTTACAAAAACGTTTAACTCATCTCTGTAAATTATTGCTATCTATATAGAACACAAGTATAGTTAGTTGATTACAAACTACAATTATACAAAGAAATAATATATATTGATCAGAGTTCGTTCAAGCAACTGAAATAGAATCTAAAAGAATGATAACGAATAACAGAATGTTTGTTTTCAAACTTGTGTACATTTAATTCAGCTTCTAGAATAGAATGAATAGTTCTGATGTCTTTCGAGTTTTTGTTTTAGATAAATGTTAAAAAAAATTATTACCGGCGGACAAACTGGTGTTGATCGATCTGCTCTTGATGTGGCTATTGAACTGAATTATGAGTATGGTGGATGGTGTCCTCATGGTAGAAAGGCAGAAGATGGAATAATTGATCCTATTAAATATGCAAATCTAGAAGAAACATCGACAGATCATTATCCGCAACGAACAGAATTCAATGTACGAGATTCAGATGGAACTCTGATTATTGTAGTCGGAGGTGAAGATGCAATGGATCGTGGTTCAAAATTGACAGTTGATATGACCAAGAAATATGAAAAACCTTTGTTTACTGTTAATTTAAATGAAGAAGACAATAGTGCAAATGAAAACAAAGTTATTGAATGGCTTTCGACGAATAAAATTGAGATATTAAACATTGCTGGACCTCGAGAAGAAACACTGCCCGGAATTTATAAGAAAGCAGAAATTTTTTTAAGAAATTTGTTACTGAAAATAAAGTCTTGAACGAAAAATGAAATAAGATAAATTGAAAAAACGGACAGAGCTGTATATGTAAGACACAAATCAATCTACTACTCTCAAATTTTGCTTTTCATTACTCGATTTAGCTGAAGTAAATCGAAGTGAAAGTGATGTGCTTATACAGTTATTGCAAAAAATTATTAATACTATTTTGTTTATGATCAAAGATAATCAAAATATGGACTTTTTTTTAGATTTGATGGATATCAAAAGAACCACCACGTCGTCTAGTATTTACACTATAAAACCCAAAATTGTTGACTGAACCTCTGTAAAATGATCGGTCAATCTTTGACAGTCATACATGTTTTGTACGCAAAAATTATTAGTACGATAAGTGAACTTGACCTTTTCTGTCTGGGAAAGTTTCAAAAAAACATCATAATAATAAAAAAAAACAAGGTAGAAATATGCCAAAATTGCTTGTTCTCGTGAATTGTTTCCATAGTTCGACGAAAAAAAATTCAAATCTTCAGCTGCTGAAATGAATACAAGGGGTAAACAGCGGACTCCAAGAGATTGGAGTCCCTTAGGATTCCACGGAGTCTAATAGAATTCTCAAGAGTACTGTGAGCATACCTTATGACTGTTTAAGGAAATCGTTTTATCAAGCTCTCTTTTATCGATTTGAGCATCAAAAAGAAAATATTTTTTTCTGAAATATATAAACCTTTGCTAGAAACACGTTCTTTTTCTGTCAACTTGTGTCTTCATCAGACTAAACTCATTTTATAACTATCCCTCGAATAAAATAGCGCATCTATCCGCTTAAGAAGGAGAAGAAAGCTGTAAAAGCAAGAGATATTTTACTTTATTATTTTTTTTTCGTCTAAATGACCTAGGCCAATTTGTTGTTCATCAATCGACATTAGTTGTTTGTACAATAGCAACTGGACAGACTATTTTTATGCAAATATTTTATATGGTAATTTTATTTCTATCTTCAAATAAGAATGTTTTCAACGCTGTTTAAACAGCTCTCGATTGAAATAATTACTTTCCTTTGAATTTCTTATTTCTTGCACATTGTTTTCTTCATTCTATTTTCCTTTTACGATCATCATTCAAAGGCTATAATTGTTATCGTTAGAATGTTGTTATAGACGTGAATATATACGACCATAGAGTACGAAAATAAAACTCAATTTTGAATGTTTATTTAAGTAAAACTTGTTTGGCTATACTTACGAATATATGCAAACTCAAATTAGTATTGTGCAGGAAAAGACACTAAGGTAATGAGTATTCATGGGCATCTCTTGTTTGATACTAAATGCATCTCATCAATAGATCGAGAGGAACTTTTTATTATATGTCTTACTAGATTTTGACAGTTTGTCTAAGGACTATGAGTCTTTCTGTCGTCCATCAATGTTACGCTTGCACATCAAATAGTTGGATTTTGCATACGTTCCCAAAAAAGGACAGATGCTTACACTGTAGCTCTTGAATTGATGATACAGATCCTCATTTGATTATTCGTTGATGATATGATAAAGATGTGAAAGTCAGTACTGTTTGCGTCCCATCAATTGCATTTTCATCGGTTTTAAAATCATTGATATTATCATTGATGCATCAATAATGACAAAAAGTCAGAAAATTGTTAGAGCAATAGTATCATACACAGAAACATATACATAAACAAAATAATATTGAAGTAATACTTTTGTGTAAAGAAAGGAAGAAAATCTATCAAACTCTGGTTCTCAGAAGAAGCAAGTCTTATCGACTTGAATTTTTCATGGTATGTGAGAGCAGTCTCTGAAGAAGAAATTTGACTAACAAATATTTTTTTAATTATTTCCTTTGAACAGCATACCACTATTTTGGTGTTTAACTTTAAAAAGATGTTTATTAGACCAACATATTTACTTCGTAATAGCATCATTATTTTACTATTTTAAACAATATGGATTTTATATTGGCAACATCAGAAATAAATTTCAATCATTTGATAGAACTAAAAAATTCTATAGATGAGCATGATTTAATAGAGTCTCGGTAGATAATTGCACCGAAAGAGAGTACAAAAAGTCAGATTATGAAGAGAACTTGAGCGCTACTCTCATTTTAAGCAAAAATGTTCAAGATAATCCAATGCATTTTACTAAAAAAAATGATTTGACATTCTTTCCATCTCTTTTGTATTACATTTATGGATTTGCGTGGAGTGTGGAGCAATAGATCAGGATATCCACGCCCTGTATAGAGTTTTTGATGGCCAGATACGACACAAAAACACACCTTAATCTGGTTCATTGAAACAGGGCAACCCACTTGCACCGTATATGGTCGTATGTATGTCATATTTCTATTAAATGTGGTTGTATTTTATCGATCTAGTTTACCCAAAAGTATAGTACATAAATGTTCGATATATGACTGTTTACACAGTGTATTTTTCATCAAAGGGCTCATAGTAGTATGGCTACTATTAAAAATATCTCGATTCTCTTGTTTGAATATTTTCTTTACCAGATTCTAATAAATAAACAAACAATGATATGGTTAAGTTTTAATCTTATTGGTATTTAGGTACTATTTTCCCGTTTTCTAGCAATTGTTTATATTAGTCAATGAGAAATATCATACAAATAGAACAATTTTTATCATTCTTACATACTTCTTTTTTTTCTGTAGAGTATGTAGATGATAATAATGAAAACAAGTATGAAATAACTCAACATACATTTGAACAATATCGACACACATTATTTGAATCTATTCTAAATGATCTTTTTCGAACATTTTGTATTATGGTCGAAAATAATTTTTATAATAATCTTGGATTTGAGTGTGAATGTGCGTGTTACTGTAAGTGTTCTGAAGAAACGTAGACCTATGCATCGTTCTGCATGATTTGAATATGTAAATAATCGAATGTTTAAGTCAATAAAATGTATAATTGGCAGGAGTAGCCTCTCTTTTCTAATGCAAATTTATCTCGGAGATGGCTAAGGCTCACAAAAGTGCCTGCACCATCTCTTTTTCGGCATGGTCTTTCATTAGGCTCATTTCAAACTTGATTGATAACCCAACAATTGCTGTGACCAGTAGATTTCTCTCCACTAACAAAGGGCTCTTGTGTCCCTTGTTTGTTCTAGGTACAAAGTATTTGTTCATTTTGTTTGTTGTTATTGATGCAGAAAAGTAAATTCGGATAAAATCCGAACTGGACAAGTAGTGGTTGAATGACTCTCTAAATTGTTCTACAGATGACTCTAGATAACTGTCTGAAAAACTCTCGTGAAAACCTCCAAGTATTTGCTTTAAGAGGCGTTTCGTTATTTTTTCTAATGTCTACACTAATGGTAAATACAAGTTTCCAACAAAAATATCGAAAATAGTTTTATGTACTGTCAAGAGAGTTGTGTGGAGAAATGAATTTCGACGGCATCGGAATTGGATAAATAGTGATATTTATTTAGTACGAAACGAAATACAACTCAGCTTTTCAATTTGCAGACGAGCTTTCATGAGCTTCATTGACTGTGCTAGGTACAGAAGGTGAAAAGACAATTGGAACTGGCGATACCGTATTCGATCGTATTAACTTTTTCGAGTCTGTATTGAGAATTTGTGCACTTGAATTCGTATGATTAGTACCATCTGTGTGAGTTGTTGTCATTTCCACTTCGTTGTTATTGTTCTACAAAACATTTCAAATTCTATCTATTGAGGAATGCAAATGTTCAAATTGATATACTTGTCTCTTGTGATAGATTTCATAATCGACACCACATCGAAGCCATTCACGCCATCGTTCCGGTAAGAAACAACAGCACACATCACTCACTGGTATAATCAATTTCGGATCAATCTCATGAGGTTGAAGCGGATGAGTCAAATACGAGACAATGTTACCAACAAGTACAACGGTACCAACTGCAATCGATGTGTACCACATATAACTTATCGAATACAAATCAATAAGAGGATCACGTCTAAATGAAAAGTACATTTTCATATTGAACTAATAATCTATAAAATATAATTGATCTTACTTCAAAGAAGTAGACATTATAGTGGTCGTTATTGTCCAATTTGTATTTGTTGTATCACTACAATTGGCTATTGATAGTGGTAAACCGACGTTTTTCATCTGTTTCTTTGTAATTTGAGCACCCAAAAAGATCCATAATAGAAAGAGGAGACTTGCGAAAAATCCGACAAGTCCACCTCGTCGATTGACTCGTGGAAAAAGAAAACCAAGAACGAAAACACCCATGATAGGGCCTTCTAGGACACCGAATAGAGAAAAAGATGCATTAAGTATCGATCCAAGATAACTGACCACATAAGTAAGCAACATGACAAAAGCTCCGAGTATGACCGACAATACTTTCGATATGAAACCTTGTCGTTCATCAGTCAATTGCCGATTCAATAATCCTTTGTAAATATCTTCAATTATTACTGCTGATAGACTATTCAATCCAGATGAAATTGTTGAGAGTGAACCGGAAAAAATACAAGCAAGAAATACACCTGGTAAACCTTTTTTGTCACTCAATACTTCCATGACAAAATACGGAAGAATTTGATCGATATCTTCAATTTCTTTCCTTGTATACGGATCGCAATCGGCATAATATGCATAGATGATAACGCCAATTAGAGCCGAGAAAAAGACGACAAATGCAGAACCGACTGCATTAATATATAACGCTTGTTTAGTACCATGTGTAGAACGAATAGACATATAACGTTGTACTTGTGCTTGATTAAATCCATATGTAGCAAGTAAATTGATTGAACCACCTATGAGCAATGACCATATTGTATGACGAGTACGAGGATCAAAGCTAATGCTGAAAACGAAATACGTTGAGACTTAAACAAATCTAGCTCTTATTATATGACTAAGATTCAACTCTTTTTGATGAATTATAAATAAATATAAACATCGATTTATTGATATCCATACGTTTGAAACAACATTAAAGCAGGGCTTTCACGAGTTATATGCGGTCAGGGACGAATGGCAGCATCAAATCCTAAAAAATTGCTATTTTTCGCCAGCATATCGCTCCCAGTACTTCCAACTCTGGTCCCCTAATATTCTCTCCTCATCCAGTCTACATACCTATCAAATTCAATTCTGCCACCTCGTGATGCTATTGAAAATGTCCGTTTAAAACCACCGAGTATAATCAAACCTAAAATAATGTAGAAAAAAAGATTTTCCATCCAATTTTTTTTTGAAAAATGATTCTCATTGTTTTCGAACCTTGAATAGCGACTGCAAGAAGACCAACAGCTATTACGATTGCTTGTAGAACGTCCGTCCAAATAACTGCTTTCATGCCACCCTGAATAAATGAATAGATAATGATTTACATTTTTTTCTCTGACGTATTTTGAGTTTACCACGGAAGAGTAGAACGTGCAAATCACACCGATTGAAACAACCGAGAGCCAAATATTCAAACCACTAGCTGAATAAAATCAATTTTTTTTTTCACTTTAACATTTTTTTTCTCTACTTTGACTAAATGCCAATGCGGGTCCATAAAGTACAAGAGCCATGTAAATAAACTTTATATGAAAAAGAAAATTGAATCGAATATCTGAGAATTAAATCGAATCTCACCATAATTAATGAGTAAGTCAATGAAACACTTATGCGTACTGCTCGATCGAAACGCTTTTCTAAATACTTGAATAGATATCTTTCTTTTTTTTTCTTTGAAAACAATGTTAAACAGGAAAAAAAACAAATACTTCATAGACACTTATAAATTTCATTTCGCGAAATTTCGGTGCAAATACAAGTGCTGTCACTATTGAAGCAATTATCCACGAAATACCTAGGATAACATAAACTTTACAGTTCGAAGCCTACATCTTATATTTACCTTGATAACAATACATAGTACCGTATATATAGATTTCACTCGGTGTGCCTAACAAAGTAACAGCCGAAAGAAAAGACACCATAATGCTGAGTGCTGTTGGAAATGCCTGTACATAATAATAGAAAGAATTTTATTTCATCATCTACTATACTTACTGACATGTTTCTATCAGCTATAACAGAAAGGTATGATTTGAATTACTGTATCAAAGGAGTACATCAATCATACCTAAGAGAAACTCTTGAGCTGAGCTTTTCTTCGATTTAAAAAATCCAAATATAACGCCAATGACAACTGAAGATAGAAGAAGTATTGCAAGAAGAACATAATCGACAGCACTCAATGTATGTGATACCATGTTTCTCAAGAGTTAAATACTTATATGCAGCGAATAGTATTGAGTTAGTTTTGAATATCTTGTATGTGAACAATATTTGATGATAATAGTCGTTCTTCTCCTATACTTTGATAGTCGTCCGAAAAAAAGAAACAACGTGCGATTATATATAAAGATAGATAAAAAACACAAGATTAAACACGTAAATTTGTTGTGTTCTGTTCTACACTGTAAAAAAAGGTTAAAATAATAGACTTTGACTCTATATATATATATATATATACATTTTTTCATAAGCCCTTGAAAGATTTATGAAAACAAAGCTATATGAAAATAAGAAGAGCTCAATACACTGGGATTTGGAGTGAAGGATATATTATTCCACGGCCGAGGGTTTTTTATTCTACCTTTCCATGAAAGGATTTATTATTCAACATTTTTTTGGAAAGGGGTTTATTTTTCTATGCTGAGAAGCAAATTATTCTGCGATTATTGTGACAGGTATGGGTGTAAAGTATGTGGATGTGGTTGGAAAGGGGTAAGAGTGTACGTCTTTTTCCACTCACACTCGCTTCGACATACCACACCTACACTCACATCCATATCAACAACCACACCCACACCCACACCCAAGACGTAATGAGGTTTTAAGAAGAAAATTCTTTTTTTTTGATATTTTCATTCTCTTTGTGGCTACTTTTTCACGCTAAACTCAACCCCTATCAGACAAATCTATGTATCCTCTCTAATGATGTCCCTATTTTGTCTTTAATTCGTAGTATTCCTTTAACTCGTTGCCACAATCATCTAGTACGCGATCTGACGATATAAAGTATCATGAAAAATGTGATCTCAATGTCGAACGCACTTAGTTACACGATATCTAAATCTCGATAGATTCTATCATCTAATAACGAAAATGTTAACTTAAAAGCTTTTTATCACTTAACACAGTTCTCTTGTGATATTATCAATCAAAGTATCGTACTACAAAAATTGAAATTATGTTTAGTTAGAACCAATTTTCAAATGATTTTCATGGAATTTAATCAAAACTATAATATAAATGAGGCGTAATTCAATTAGAATTCAAATCAGAAATTTTGATTTTGTTGCAAGAAAATGTTCGTTCGTTTTACGACCATTTAAAAGAATCGATGAGATTTCAGAATAATTAGTTTGTATTGAAATTGTGCACTCTTTCTGAATATATGTTCAGAGCTCAAAGTTGGTTAACTGTGAATGAATAATTGAACTGACTGAAAATGAATTCTATACAGAATTTTATTTCGATCTAAATTGTATTTTTAATGAAACTAGTCAACTCAAAAATACAAAACGTTGTTCAATCAAACAGTTTTGTAGAGAGAAATTTATTCGAAAAAATGTCTTATCTACTTTTCGCTTATATATTGGAACAAAGATTTTCAATTGTTTGTATCTTATAAGACAAATTTTGCAGAAAAGAATCGATGATCGAATAAATATAGTTTTATGCGTAAAGTAATTCTTAGGACAACGTATATCATTTTCCAAGATGTAATCAATAAAGAATATAGATTTTGTATAAAACCCAATTTAGCTATGAACAAGTACCATTTTCAGTTTGTTTCAATCATTTTCTTATAGATAACCAATCTTAGATCAGACAAAATTTCGAAACATGCTTTCAGAAAGAGCACAAAATGCAGATTCTAAATAGCTATTTTTAAGATATATTCTGTGACGCACACTGCATACGAATTTTTAATGATCATGACGCAATATTAATTGACGGCAATGAAATTTCCATGACATGGTAGACAAAATTATTTTATTTTCAAGTCGATTTTTATTGACTCCAACAGATGGAAAAAGAAATTATTTCGGTACTATTTTTCTTTATGTTAACTGTTCAGAGAAACTAAAGACGTCTGTTAACCTTCAACGGTCGTATAAAGATGTTTCAGGCGATTCAATGCTTTTTTTTTGATAAGTCGATGCTTCTTCCATTTCTTTTACGTTGTTAAATAAAATTCCCAATCGACTTTCTGTAATAACTGTTTCTAATTGATAGATAGGTGAAAAATCTTGATTTATTTCAAGAGCATATTCATATGCTGCTAGTGATAAATCGAGATCGTGTATTTGTTCGTATGCATCTCCGATGAGTCTATAACATCAAATAATAAACGATACGTCAGAAAATGATCAACGATCGAAGAAAAACATACTGACCTATACATTTCAGAAAGAGCTTGTTCGTTATTGTGTTCATTATAGGCTATTTGATTTTTTTGTTGAACACAAGTTACTCTTTTCAAAAATGCGAACTCGTTACCGACGAATTTATTTGTTGACTGAGATGATCGTGGTTTTTGCAGCAAATCAATAGCTTTTAAGCCATAGTCGATCGATAATTGATAGAGCCTTAATTTGAAATGTACCATGGCGAGCCACTTGTTGCATAGAGCTAATTCCCAATAATCATCAGAGGAATGCGATTCGTAGAAAGTTGCTGAAACTTGAAAATGTTCTACTGCTTGCTCATATTGCTCATAATGTGAATAATTAATCTCGCCAAGATAACGATGAGACAATGTGAAACTATCAAATGGACAATGTTCTATTGAATAGGTAACAATACGTTGGAAACATTCTTGAGCTTTTGCTGTCGTTGAAAATTGTTGGTAGTAAGTGAGAGCAATATGAAAGAGAACACCAACGATAAGAAGACGAGCTTGAGTAAGAACAAGTGGTGGTGCTTGTAATAGGAAAATAGTGTCATATACATTAAACGCTTTCCAATAATATCGATCGGCGTCTTCGCTGGATGCATTCTCGAAGAAATGATAATTGCCAATAATTGCATGCATAGCACAGCGCTAGCGCAACTTCATCCGGAAGCTCGATACGACTTTCATAAAAATCGAGCGCTTTTTCATAATAAACTCTAGCCAGTGGATAACAACCATAGGTTTCGATTCCTTGGAGTTCAATTGAATGGCCAATTTGCATTTGGTATTGAGCTTCGAAAATCACCGGCATAGTATCAATGTGAACAAGTGCTCGTTCAAACGCTTCAATTGCTTGTTTATACTGTTTCAATTTGCTGTAAGTAAGACCAAGATAGAAACAACAGATTGCCGTATGAAACGGGTCACTTTTGCCATTATCATCAATGATTCGTGTCCATTGCTCGAGAGCACGTACATAATCGCAACCTTTATAATGGATTAATCCGATAGCACGTTGTGGCCATCGAACGAGTTCATAGCGTTTGTCAAGTGTTAATAAATGTACCAACAATGTTAAATGCATAATCCCTTGACACAGTATTTTTTGCTCGTCGATATTCAATTCCGGTCGTGATCCAACACTCAATATGAGTTTTACAGCCGTGATATGATGTAACAGTGGTGCATCATCTTCTTTCACCTTGACTGACTTCGACCCATCAAGTGTCATCATTTCGAATCGATGTAAATAATGAAGTTGATTATTAAGTTGTAACAAACATTCGAACGGATTGACACTTGGCTGCGCACTCCACATGACATCGAAGTCAGTTGAATCGTATAAATGACGCTGTTCAATACTCTTAAGAATACATGCCATTCCACTGTCCTTGACTGCATTCATACATACAAGCCAATAGGGAACATTATTTTCTTTTTTCTCGGTAATATTTTCAATAGTAAATGTTGCATCTAAATCGAATAGAACTTCCTCTTCTATAGGAAGCGCCGAATATTTGCTAATGCCTGCAAGAATACAATCACTCGCATTTAAATTGATATTTATCTCGAATAGTATCGATTCACCATTCGTCTCAGCGGGTCGTGAACCAATCGATCCGAACATTCTTGCAACGTCTTCATTTCGACTTGTCGACCAATAACCATTGATCGAGACAATTTTTCCTTGATTTTTTTCGAGTTCAAGTCGAATACGATTTTGTACAACTTGACCTCGAAACAATCGAATGAGAGAACCTCGGTCGACATTATTCCGCCAAATATTCCAATCTTTTCGCAGACATTCTGTCAAATCATGCAGATAGAATCGAAGTATAAACAGACTTTCGAGATCTTGTGTGCGTAAAGCACGATTAACAAGTCTGTAAATAAATGAATTCTTTGTATATCATTGAACAGCGTCGTCTGACGAGTAGCTATTCTCAAATTGAAGAATATCATCGGCATAATCCATTCGATAGTGATTACAACAAAGTGTGATAAAGTCTAATTTGGCTTCGTTATCAGAAATCAAATTTGTATCCAGTAGAATTTTTTTATACATTCGATAACATAAAATACGAAATGATTCGTTTCTCACGTCACGTTGTGAAATATTGAGCGAACCGTCAAGCATGAGACGATCACTAGTGTGTTTATTTTCCAGTGTTTCACTCAAATAATGACTTATATCTGCAAACACTTGTTCAAATTCATCGAATGTGGAAATGCGAAATGATTTTATTTAAGCATTGTCATTCCATTTTGCCGGTAGAAGAGCATGGCTTCCTTGCAACGTTATCAAAATGATCGTTTCCTTTTTAGCTGTCTCAAGATAAAGCGATAGCTGGTCAATGTCGAAATAGAAAAGAACATAAGGATTAAGTGTGTGCAAGCGTTTTTTAATCCATTGCGTATTGTTAGTGTCCATCACGATTTCGATATCGAACCAAATGATTGTCAATTCTTGTTTCTCACGAAATTCGATATCGGGACAAGCATTGAGGATTGATGCCGCTTGTTGAGGATAACGAATACAGTTAGGATCCCACATTTTTCCAGTCGTATCACCAAATCCCATTGTAAACTTGATGCCAGCTCCGAACGTATTCATCAAATCGATTTTTGTCTTCAAGGACACACAACAACTATTTTTTTCTACCTCTATATACGTCAGCTTTCGACAACTAACAACCACAGAATGAGAGACACTTGCAGTTATGACTGACAAATTTCTTTTTCGTCATTAAAACGCTGAAAAAGCTTTTTTATTTGACACACATAGAACAACATGCTAGGTAAACAAACATCGAGTTGTATCGGACGCTTCTTATAGATTGATGAATCTTATCCAAGGGCATGAATGTGTGAGTATCGATTTTTGTGGGTATGGGCGTGGGTATGATTGTGACTAAGTATGGATATCGGTTTCATATGGGCATGAAGAGACAATCTACGCTCACACCCACACCTTTTTGTTTCTAGAATATTGAATGAAAGACTTTTATTTTTAATATTACAAACAGATCAAACCAAACTAAATACAAGTACAATTACACAATCAAACACTAGACAATAGTGAGTGATTCAACATTTAATAGTCATCGAGTTGATATAATTAAAACAAATACAACATTGTCTTTGGTTTTAGATTCTTCATAGCTACATCAATTTTTTCAGAAATATTAATAATTGAGAAATAGTGAAATGAAAACAATGAACTTAAAGGTAGACTTCAGTTATCTTTCAAAAACTTCATGATCAAACTCTACGTTGTTCCACCTTCGCATGTCGATAGCATTGATATTTTACTCGTAAGAAGTACTCAATGAGACTTGGAGAAGCCTGAAATAATTCGGACTGCTCGATCTTCCTCCTTCGCGAGCTATCACTGTTCTCTTAGAATTTTCGCTTCTTAGGAAAGTATTTAACAAAAAATTAAATTAGATGACTTTCTTCTCAAGATATTTCAAGAAAAAAGTCTATTTTCTGATGTTTTCTGTGAACAATGATCCTTCTTTGAACATTCAATATCTCAAGGAGGAAGTATTCATTTTGATTAAAACTATTATGATTTCTAATTGCATTCAATAAACTTTTTTTGAGATAAAATCAAAAGAAAGTTTAATCACAGTCTTAGATGCTATAGAATTCATTTTTATACTTGGTACATTTCCAAATGATAGTGGAACTCTGAACAACGTAAATTTCTTAAATTAAATAAAACAAAACGTGGGTAAGACGAAAATAAATCAAATAATACTTTTTATGTATGACATTAATATAACAGATCAATTGATGAATTACAATTCAATGAAAGTAAACGTGTAATGTAAGATAAATAAATAAAAGCAATAAATATATCCTATGAAACAACAATATATAATAAACTTGATAATTCACAACAGAGGAAAGTAGTTGCTCGTCGCCATAAGTTAGTTTATTATTATTTAAGTTATAAGATTGAAGTTTATGTTTTAGATGAAGTAAATCTCCTCAAAAACAATTCTTATTAGAAATTCTGGATACAATCAAGTATATAGAAATATTCTTCGAATAGATCAATATATTATGACTTTTGTTCGATAGATTTGATCTCGTAGAATCTGTTGGTTTAGATGAGAATCAATTGAAAACAATTCCTTATGAAAACGTCAAGTAAGATAAACACAAATAATTTTTCATTTTCTTTTGTTTTTTTTAAAAGAGTATCACGTGAACGAATTCGTAGTAGTCTTTCATCATATTCATCTCGACAACAATAGTGACGTTCCTCTCCATTCAATTGGTCTGAGTAAATCATATATCTTTTTCTTTTTCATTCAAGTTCATATTTTTCATTTAAATTGTAGTGGTGTTGTTCATAGTGCATCAACTCATATATTATTTCTATTGTTCAAGTCAAATCAACAGTAAGAGTTTTTATTAAATATTAAATTCATTATATTTGGTTTTATTTAGAAAGTTATTAGTATAACTCAAAAAATAGAAAACTGTTTGTATGATATTTTTTTTTCTTTTCGTATCGATTAAATTATTTTTGTTTTTAATTCAGAGTTTGAAAATATGAAAAACATGTGATTGAATTGATATTTGTTGTCAATGTTTAGTTTGGTTTTTTTTTTGAGTTTTGTTTGTTTATCAAATAAATTAAATTATTTATTAGAATTTATATATTAACCTATATTGTTTAGAATAAAGAACTTATAAAAAGAATATGAGTAACTACTAATTATTCTTCGTTGAAGAAAATATTGGTTTGAGTTGTTAGTATTGGATTCACATATCACTATTTAATATTAAAAAAAAATTACTTATTTTAACTGTTGAGAGAAATCAGAAAGAAAAAATAATCGTACTCTTCTATATTCATTGAACGTTTTACGTAGATGAACTGAACGCATAATCTTCTTCAAATTTAGAGTTTCAGTTAAATTATTGTTTGACTATGATACTTATATATTTATATATGATCTATTTAAGAAGCTGAGGAATTTTCTCAATGTATATACAAAAAAGTATCAAAAGATATAATTAACTAACTGCATTCTTCTTTTATGATTGTTATAATAAATGGTGCGTAGGAAGAAAAACAGATACCGATAGTACAATCTTCATATACAATCTTTCGTTTTTATTTCTTTTTTCTATATGTTCTACTCGCAAACTGATTTGCATACAATAAATTTTTCACAAGAAATCAGTAGCCCACGAATGACCAATCAAAGATTTTTTTTTTCTTAAAATTGGTTTCGATATTATATGTATTATATCATTTTATATATGCCTTCAATCACTTAACACATTCATTTGTCTTGTATAATTATTTTTGATTATTAATCACTAAAGATCATGCCCACTATTGACCAATATATGTATAGCTATGATCAAACATAGTTTAAATGTCTCTCTCTTGTGTATTTATCAAAATCATCAATCATTGTCCCATTCGATTGATGCGTATCAAGACAGTTGATCTGAGAACAAATTATCAGCAAATATTGAACAACGATGATAATGTAATTATTCTTGTTCTCGCATTAAATTAAAGACGACAGTCGTCTGTATTCAGAGGTAAAGGAAGAAATAAAACGAACAGTTGTCTTTCTTATTGAACTCATCATCGCCTCGTACACATA